TGTGTGTGTGTGTGTGTGTGTGTGTGTGTGTGTGTGTGTGTGTGTGTCTTGGGGCGCTTGCGGCCAACAGAATTTGTGTGTGGGGGGGGCCGGGGGCTGCGACCAATAGTGTTGTGTGTGTGTGTGTCTGTGTGTGTGTGTGTGTCTGTGTGTGGGCTGCGACCAATAGTTGTGTGTGTGTGTGTGTGTGTGTGTGTGTGTGTGTGTGTTGGGCGGGCGCTTGCGGCCAACAATGTGTGTGTTGGGGGCCGGGGAACCAATAGAAGACCCGAAGTGAGAGCTGTTGAGTAGAAGCTAGTGAAGACGCATTCTTGGATGGGAAAAGCACGTGCAGAGGCTCTGGGGCAAGAAAGCATGTCCTGTTGTTAGGGTCACACATACAATAATCCGTGTGGTTGGAGCACAGAGAGTGAGAGGGTATGCCATTGAAGTTGGAGAGGTAGAGGAGAAGTTTTGCATATTTTACCTATAGAAGCCAATGAAGTGGTTTTAACAGGGGAATGATTTTTTAAGATTTGCATTTTGAAAAAGTCATTGGTTTCAGTGTGGAGCTTGGATTAGAGAGAGAGAAAGAGTGAATGACAATGAAGGATTTTATCAGCACTACCATTCTAAAGGAATGGGGCAGAGTGGGTACTGAAAACCACCAAGTTAAGTGCCTGGCCTGGGACCTCCCAGTAGGACTTCAATCCAGAAGGCCTCCCAGACAAGAGACCTTCTCCTTTGAGCCTTTGCAGATGTGAAGGCTGCTGTGCTTCCTCCGGCTCTTCCTGCCTTTCAGTCATCATCCAACATGAAATCTGCCTGCTTTATTCCCTCCTCTTCATCCCCTCAACCCACAGCTATAAGTGCCACAGGTCTCTCCGTCGGCAGCTTGTCGCTTTTCGTTTATTTTCTGCACTACGGCTAGACTTATCTTAAGTACACACCTGTGATCCTGTCCGTCTTGTTTTCAGAAACCTCCCTAGCTTTTACAGAAAGATATAGAAAGCTGCAGTCAAAAGCCTGAGATTTAGGGTTGAACTCCTGTTCTCTGACCTTGGTGCTGTTGCTTGTGGCCTTACCACAGTCCTCTGGGGAACTCCATTTTCTCATCTGTAAATTGAAGAAGTGAGATGGGTGGTTTCTCTGCTCTCCAGCCTCCCAAAGGTTGAGATGTGACTTACAAGTTGTTCAGGGTCTAGCAGGCTTCATGACAAGCTAGTGAAGTTAACTAAGAATAATCCAGATTCTTCTGCCAGCATCTGAATCAGGTGTCCATCTCTGCCTTCTTATTCTCCAGGCCCCATTCTATTCACCTCACCCCTTCTCTCTTCCCTTGTTTTTCCTCAGGGCTCCAAGCATCGTCAGCTCTTGGCCACATTACGGGCCCTAGAGGCAGCATCTCTTCCCCAGCAACCTCCTAGCCTGCCTGGCAGTGACTCTGAGGAGGATGTGGTGGAAAGGAAGAAGAAACGCCCGAAAAAGGCCTCATCTACCACTGCCTCTATTGAAATAGAGAAGAAGAGGAAGAAGAAATGTCAACAACAGGGCCCACCTGGCAGTGACTATGAAGAAAAGGAAGTAAAAAGGAAGAAAAAGTGCCTCAAAGGGGTTCTCAGTGCCAGTGACTCTGCTGAAGAACAGAAAAGAAAGAGGAAATGCCAGAAACAGGTCCCCTCAAACCCCGCCCAGCACCAGGACAGTGAAAACCAAACAGGTACTAGTGGCTGTGTATATGTGTGTGGGACAGGGAGGGGGATCAGCTGATCCTGTACGTGACAGAGGTTACCTGCCACCATTAGGTTTGGGGTTAGGCAATAAGAAGTGTTTTCATCCAGGCCATAGCCTCTTTCTTAAGGACAGGGGTATGGCCAGGATGATTGCCAAACCTCTGAATTCAGGGGCTCTTGCCCCAAATATGCTTTCTCATCTCCCTCTCTTCAGGTCCCAAAGCTTGGAAAAGTAGTGCGACAAATGACCAATCCAAGCCAAGTCCTGGGTCCACTTCTGCCAACCCCCCCCAAACCTTGAGTCGCAAGCAGTGGCGGAACCGGCAGAAGAACAAACGTAGACATAAGAACAAGTTTCGGCCACCTCAGCCACCAGACCAGGCTCCAGCCACAGCCCCCAAAGAGGAGACAGAGATGCCTCCTGCCCCCAGCCCAGATAACCATGAGGATCGGGCAGGGGCTCTGCGAGCACGCATGGCACAGCGGCTGGATGGTGCCCGATTTCGCTACCTCAATGAACAGCTATACTCAGGCCCCAGCAGTGCTGCACAGCGTCTCTTCCATGAAGATCCTGAGGCCTTTCTTCTCTATCACCGCGGCTTCCAGAGCCAAGTCAAGAAGTGGCCACTACAGCCAGTGGACCGCATCGCCAGGGATCTTCGCCAGCGGTGAATGGGGGTTGGGCACTGTGAGAAGCGATGTGGGTCAGTCATGGCTCAGACTAGACCAGTGAGTGATCCCTCCCCTCCACTCCCAGGCCTGCGTCCTTGGTGGTAGCTGACTTCGGCTGCGGGGACTGCCGCCTGGCTTCAAGTATCCGGAACCCTGTGTACTGCTTTGACTTGGCCTCTCTGGACCCCAGGGTCACTGTGTGTGACATGGCCCAGGTAAACCCTTTTATCTCTCTGTGTCTCTGGCCTGTGCTCTAGACCCAGCCTCTATGTGCTAATCTCTAATGCTCCCTCCCTCTGCACCCCACATCCTGGTGTCTGGCGCTAGCAGTCAGTGCTGAATTTCTTTCTTTTTTGTTTTGTTTTGGTTTTTTTAGGATTTTATTTATTTGAGAGAGAAAGCACAAGCAGGGGGAGCAGCAGAGGGAAAGAGAGAGGCAGGCTCCCTGTTGAGCAGGGACCCCAATGTGGAGCTCGATCCCAGCACCCTGGGATCATGACCTGAGCCGGAGGCAGACGCTTAACCACCTGAGCCACCCAGGTGCCCCTCAGTGCTGGATTTCTGCTTCCCATGTTGTGTGCTTTATACAGTACTCCTACTCTCTACAGGTGCCTCTGGAGGATGAGTCTGTGGATGTGGCTGTGTTCTGCCTTTCACTGATGGGAACCAACATCAGGGACTTCCTAGAGGAGGCAAATCGAGTGCTGAAGCAAGGGTAGGCGTTCCCGGCACACAGATATGTGTATATGTGCACAGGCATATGTCTGTGTATATACACAGTACGCCTCACTTTTCTCAGGGGTCTCTTGAAAGTGGCTGAAGTCCGTAGCCGGTTTGAAGATGTTCGGACCTTTCTGGGGGCTGTGACCAAACTGGGCTTCAAGGTCATCTCCAAGGTGAGAGCCCCAAGAAGTCTCCCTATTTTTGTCTTGTGTGGTCTTTTTTAGGGTAATGGTGTTTAGGAAGGAGACCATAGGCACAGACACAGACTATGTTCTTTGAAGGCATGACGCACGGGAGAGCCCTGGGGAGCTTTCTGAGCAAGGGCGGGACATGGACCAGCGGTGTTTTGAGGAGCTGGGGTGAGGATTTAGAGCTCACTAGGTCTTTTCCACCCCTAGGATCTTACCAACAGCCACTTCTTCTTGTTTGACTTTGAAAAGACTGGGCCTCCTCGGGTAGGGCCCAAGGCTCAACTCACAGGCCTGAAGCTTCAGCCATGTCTCTACAAGCGCAGGTGACCCCTGCGCCTGCCTTGAAAGGGAATGCAAGTCTTGAACTCCAGGCTCAGAACTCTGAAGACTATATCCAGCCAGTCTCTGACCCGGGAACTGATAACATCACTTTCGCCGTCCTAAGACTAAAGTGTGATGAAACCCCCTGGCTCAGCCCTGCTCTCATGAAGCCTTCTTGTTTGTGAGAAGCATAAAGTCATTCAGACTAGCTAAAGAATAAGGAGTTTATTGTGAAAATACAAGGGTATCTGGGAATTATGGGTCCTCCAGATGTGGGAACTAGCTGGTTTGGAATTCAAGGCATCTCTGGGTTTGGCTCCTCTTTCCATCTATTAGGAGTCACGTGGAGTTTCTGCCCTGGCATCTCTACTCTTCTCATCTCTGTCTGCTGAGAAAATCTACAGCCAGGGCTGGGTGCATAAGAGCTATGGCTGTGATGTGTTGTAAGCCTTACTATTTTCTAAAGTCCTTTCCTAGGGAGGGTTGGAGGTCGAAGAGTGAAGAATGGATTTGTTGACTGAGGAATACTCTGGGAGAGCTCAAGATAGGCCTTTCAATGGGCTTCATTTCACAGGGTATTTAGAGATTGTTGATAAAACTCTTGAGCTGTTCTTGGAGGATCATGGTAAGGGAGCTGGGTCCCTTCATAAATAACAACTGGTTGATGCCATGGTAGGCTGGGGGATTGGGCTGTATATTGGCACAAGGGTCTGTTTGTTGTTTCCACCTTGCAGTGGGCCCAAATCAGCATGTCCTGGGAAAGCTACGGGCAAGGAAGGCTGGTGTTGGAAAAAGATGAACTGGGATGATAGACCCTTGGCCTCTCCTGGAAGGTATCTCCCATGTCCAGGTATAAAGATGCAGCATCTTACCTATTTGGAAGGGCAGAAACTCAGAATGCCCACTGGGACACAGCTTCCAGGGCTCTGAGCCAGTCAGATGCCTCCAGTGAGGAGATGGAGGTTTTGAGGTAGGCTGTAGGCCAGTGGGCATGTTTGGAGGCTAGGCAGTGTACCGCAGTGTCTTCGCGTGTGTTCTGTCTGCTGAATACTCGCCTGACTGACGAAGTCTCACTCATCCTAGCTTAGTTGGTCCCTACTCCACCCCTCCTAAAGCAGAATTAATTCTTTATCTGCATTCTCCAAACTGCATTGTAATTGCTTTGTGCATCAGGCTGCGGTCTTTCCAAGTCATATTTATCTTTGTATTCCCAGAGCTTGTCACTGAGGTGGTGGAATAACAGGGTCTAGCTGGGTGGGGCTGATGAGAACAGGGTATTGGGAGGAACGCAGGCTCAGGGTACAAGATGTGGGCACTGAGGACCAGAGACGATGGAAGAATAAGCAGATAGGAGAACTTGAGCAGGTGGAACAGGTGGGATTGTTGAGGGCTGTGAGAGAGGACTCTTCAGTGAGTCTGGTTTCTCACTTGAGCAACAGGTTGGGCTGGTGCTGCCGTTTAGAACGTTGGGTTGTAGGTACCTGTTCCGTGTTTGTTTGGAAGACGGACGTAAATGTGCCAGGAGAGACCTGTGCTAGGATTTGGGAATCAGTAGTCTAGAGGTGGTCATTCAAGTCATGGGAATAGATAAGACATCCAGAGTAAGGTAGTGAGAAGAGAAAATGGCTCCGAATAAAACTCTGAGGAGCATTTGATGGATGGGCAAAGGCAAATGGACCAGTCAAGGTGACAAGGTGAGAATGTTGGGCCAGAAATGGAGGAGTAAAACTGGGAGAATGGATGCTTTCAGTATGGAAGGAAGGGATGGGGAGGTTGTCAGCTGTCAAACGCTGTTGCAAGGTCTGTTAAAATTTACAGTGCAGTCAGACTGCAGTGAGTGAAGGTTGCTGAATACTCTTGAGGGCCTGTTTGAATTTAGAGTGGTATTATTCATGACTTTATGGTTACACCAGCCAGCCCGGTGGTGTGGTTATCTCTTCCTACTCAGGAATCTAAATGTAACTGTGGGGGAAATGAACACTAAGGGATCATCCAGAGTTGGAATCTTGCCATGCAGTGGAAATCAAAGGAGGCATTTCACACCATTCAGAAGTAATTGATCACTGCTGGATCGTGCACTATTGTAGAAGAGGTAGGAGAGTGAAGACAGAGAGGTAGGTTGTTGCACTGGGAATCATTAAACAAGCAACCTGGGCAGGTGAGAGGTGGTGGTCAGAAATTGGAGTGCTTTAATTACTAGTGTTGGAAGCATAGCAGCTCCAAGCAATGGCCGCGTCTAGAGTGAAGCCACAGGGGTTAGTGCCTGAGAGGCGTGTGAGAGAGGTTGCCCGTACGTTGGGTAATGGACTGAGGGGTCGGGTATTATGGGGAGGTCTTGTCTGAATGGACTCTGACATTCTCCAGGGCGGTGGTAGAAATTGGCATGGAACAGGTGCCAGCCTCTCAAGGGAGGGTGCGGATCCAGGAGATCTGTAGACAGAGTGATGGGGAAGCTAGATGGCATGAATTTCAGAAGTGCAGGGGATTTGGACTGCCTGCTAGAGAGACCTCCACTGTGGGAGTGATGTGAGGCTGGTGAGCTGGCTGCTAGACAGCCAAGATAAAATACCCTCATAGTCCTCTCCAGCTTCTCAGGATTCACTGGGGATTTCTGGAGAAATGATTATTGCAGCAGCTGCACGGGACAGGAGCCTCCAGGGGTAAGGGGAGGCAGGCCACAAAGTCCAAGGAAAGTGTTGGGAGTAGCAGGCATCTCGCTGTGGGACACACATTACCTTTGATAGCTCCCTATCTCTGTTCTTTTGCAAATGTTTATATCCCCTAGGTCCTGGTTATCTTCCCTGTTTTTTTTATTCTCAGCAGGTCAGCTGTGGTCTGCCTTTCTCCTTTTTTTGTCCTCCTCACTTATAATTTGGATTCTTCCTATGCCTATTCTGGCTCCATCCACCCAGGTAAATATCTCTCTGGGTTTGACTCAGGCCTTGGACTCCCCGTAACTCAGCCCAGTGCCATTAGTGTCTCCATCAGTTGCTCTGATTCTGAAAGTGGGACTCCCCCCAAGCCTGCTCTGGGCCCTCCTGGCTCCATCATCAGCTTCAGGACAAACTCTTGGGCAAGCCCAAGCTCTTGGACTTCAGTGTTTAATGCTGAGAGCTGAGGCTGGAGACGGAACAGTGTATTTCCTTAGGAAATAACTACATGCCAGCTGCTCAAACAGCAACCTAGTTTAAAGAACAATTTGAGAAGAGATTAAAGGAAGGGCAAGAGTAGTAAGCGGTAGGTGGGAGGGGGTTGCTGTACCGTGCAAGGCAGTGCATTATAATCACCCAGTGATTAACGAGCCTTCACCCAGTTTCTGATTCAGGAGATCAGGCTAGGGTTTGAAAAGTTCTATTCTGGTTGCTTTGGTTTCTCACAGTGAAGCAGGAAGCAGGGTTGAGAGAGTAGCGGGGAAGGGGTTGGAGTTTTGAGGCGAGGAGAGCATAAACGCCCTTATTAGAGTTAAGAGGGAATGAACGAATGAGGGAAATGGAGTATGATTGCTGGTGGTATTAATAGTATGCTTGAGGTTCAAGGTCAGAAAGAGGATGCATGGGGAGAGACAGTGTAGGATCTCTGTAGAGAGCTTGCTGTTGTGAGACAGCACAGCTGGACTGTGAGGGCCCAACCCCCTCACCTCAGATCTAACTGCGGACTCCACTGGGACCATTCAGGAAGCTTGAGGTATTTATATTCCTATGGCCGAGGACTGGAGTCTTGACTTCCGCCCTGGGAATGTAGAGGGCAAGCAGAGGCTCACTAACTGTCTCAGTGGTGAAGCCGGGGGAGTGCCGCTGCTTTTGCATTGGCCTGCATTCCCACACTTTGCTGTGGCAATTGAGGCATGTGTGTATCCTGTGCATCTTGCAGGAGAGAAGGAAGCGTGGGATGGTCTTGGGTCCTTTCCAGTAGGACCATTTGAGGAAGCAAGGAGACCTCAGCACAGAGCAGCTAGGAGTGTGCCATGCGGGCTGAGGAGGGAATTGCAGGAGACCACCCACCAAAGCGGCATCCACCAGGGTCAAGGGGGCAGCTGGGATGTCCCCGTTAAATATCTTTCAGGCCCACAGGGCACAGAACCACCCAGTCCAGCAAGAACCTTCTTTCCTTTCTTACCCACTTATTTCTGTGCAGCTGGACCCAGAGCAGTCAGCAGCTGTTAGGTAAATTGGAGGTAAGAAGAGCAGAGAGCATACAGATTGTTCTTCCCCTCCCCAGCTCAGGCTCCTTGAGACTAGACGTAAGTGGGGCAGGGCTGGGAGGTGAACGTAGCTAAAGCTACAGTAGGTGCAGATTATTTATTGTTACATAGGGTTAGACATTCTAATTGCTTGAGCTCTTAAGACCGTTAACTAAGAATGAGCTGAAAAGTCACAGGCTTGCTGCAGCTTCTTCTCTCCACAGCAGGGAACAGTGCCAACAAAGGAGAAAAGTTTGGAGGGGTGGTAAGAATAAGGTTGGGTTTGGATGGCAGCCTGTGCCTTGTGCTTGTTCAGCGTGCTTTGAGATGTTTCTTGCTGCTGCAGTTGTTGGTGTGCTCCCGCTTTTGTTCCTGTAACACAGTCCTGCGGGAACACCGTTCCAAAGGAAACAACATGATCTTGGCAGAGACACAGCTCAGCTCCAAACACTCAAGCATTTACATAATTGCACAAAGCCCTTCACAGCTTTTCACAGACACAGACCTGCAATTAGAGCTCTCTATCCACAGGTCGTCCTCCTTCCCAGGTGACTTCTCAGACTGGCCACCTGGTTCTAGGATATTTGACCACTGTAGCAACTGCCTTACTGGTCTAATTGCTTCCCTTCCTGCCCCCAGAGCCATTCATTTCCCACACAGCCAAGTGATTTTTAAAATGTAAATCAGATATGCCATTTCTCTTTTTAAAATCCTTCAATGGGTTCTCAGTGTTCTGAGAACAAAAGACGTAGACTTGTTCCCAAGCCCTGTGTGATCTGCCCAGGCCTTGCTCTCCAACTGCATCTTAACCCATTGCTTCCTCCTGAGGCTCCGGCCACACAGGCTTTCTTTTCTTTCCTCAAGCATTCCAAGCTGCTCCTGCTGGCTCTTTACACATGCTGCCCCATCTTTCTACAGTACTTTTCGTGATGAGCTCATTTTCATCTTCCAGATCTTCATGCCAGTATCTGCATTTCTTCTGTAGAAGAAACTGGCTAGATGCTCACCAAAATGTCCTGTTCACAGACACACAGTTAAACTCCTTTTCCCAGCTCCTTGCATCAAGTGAGGCTCTCTGAGGGGCGCCTGGGTGGCTCAGTTGGTTAAGCCACTGCCTTCGGCTCAGGTGATCCTGGAGTCCCGGGATCGAGTCCCACATCGGGCTCCCTGCTGAGCAGGGAGTCTGCTTCTCCCTCTGACCCTCCCCCCTCTCATGCTCTCTGTCTCTCTCTTTCATTCTCTCTCTCAAATAAATAAATAAAATTAAAAAAAAAAAAAAAAGGTGAGGCTCTGTGAATAGTCCTCACCAACGGAAAGTGAGTAGAAGTGATGTTTTACTACCAGACCAAGGCAGCTACAGAGTGGATGAGTCTTCTCCACATTCCCACACCCCCTCCTGCCTGCCTCAGTAATCTTGAAGCACATGTTTTGAAGACAGTGGAGTCAGAACATAGAGTCTGAGTCACTGCTTGGAGGAAAGCTGTTTGACCAAGAACATCCACATTGGATTTTAAACGAAAAGAAACCTCTGTTACATTAAGTTACTGAGCTTTGGGAAAGTTACAGAAGTTAGCATTATATACCCTGGCTAATAGATGTTTTCTGGGCATCCTGTCCACCTTACTCCAGATCACAAAACCCTTTTTGTTTCCTTCAGGGTGCTTCAAACATACCGTTTTACCAGGTGCCAGTCAACACTCCTACCTGTCCCATAACTTTGAATCTTAATTGAGAGAAAAAAGCTCACATGAGGAAGTTGAGATACTCATTTTATCAGTTGCATTTTTTTTTTTAAGATTTTATTCATTTATTTGAGAGAACACAAGCAGGGGGAGTGGCAGGCAGAGGCAGAGGGAGAGGGAGAAGCAGGCTCCCCGCTGAGCAGAGAGCCTGACGCCGGGCTTGATCCCAGGAACCTGGGATCGTGACTTGAGCCGAAGGCAGATGCTTAACTGAGCCACCCAGGCGCCCCTGTCAGTTGCATTTTGGTTGTGACCAGAAGAAAATATCCCACTGAAGAATGTCCTAAACAAATTAGATTTTTATTCTAATATTATTAGAAACCCAAAGGTAGGTGGCTGGTGACTGGTTTAGGAACTCAAGGATGTTATTAGGTCTTTGTTACTCTTGGTCTCTTGATTCTGATTTGTTCAAGGTGATGTGTTCTTGATTGGGCAGGGACATCCTACTTACTGTTTTACTTCTTGGGAGTCTTGCTGATTGCCACAGCCCCTACCTTTTTGACCTTACTTCAGGGGTCTTTCTACATTGTTAATACTCTGGTGTAAATATGTTTCATTATTCCCTATAACATAACTGAGGCCAATCTAAACTATTAGCATTTTAAATATATTTGTCTCCCTCATCCCTTCCCACACCTCACTGACTTGTGAGCAACTTACCCAATTCAAAGCTCTTCTTCCTCCAGCCCCAGTGAGGTGGGGAAACATGGTCTGTTTCTTTCACTCATTCTTTACCTCCTCTCTTACTTAGGATTGGGATGGGGAGGGCACATTGGAGGAGAAAAAACTAAACTCCCATCAGTGTGCTCTACTAAGGCATTTAAATGTTGCCTCTATGTGAGCTATTGGGGTTCTCTGGAGGCCCCATGGGGACTTGTGCACTGACTGGCTTTGCTTCCCTCCTTATGATACACAGCCCACACTCCTCTTCAGCTCCTGCCCCTGTCCGTGAATCCACAGCCTGCTAATGCTAACATCCCTCCCCTGGGCAGCCCTCCTGGGAGCGGTCCCAACAAACACCTCAAGACTGGTTTTCTTTCAAGAAGCCCACTGGAAACTCATGCATATTTGTCCCACCAGACACTGAAAGTGCAGGCCAGCCAGCAGCTGACTTCTTTCTCCCTGCTTGCCCCTGCCAGCCCGACTGACTTCTCCATGTGAGAAGTAAAGCACCAATCTCTATAGTCATAGGACTCCAAACCTTCATAAGTGATTCAGGTTCTATTCTCCCAAGAAGCCTTTGCCCCAGGCTCCACCTCCATGGTCATATGGAGATGGCTTTGTTAAGTTCCTGGGTGTGGCAGACCTCTAGAGAATGTAATCTGAATGAATATGAAGCCTGTCCCTTGTGGGAACACAAAATGACTATAGATGGTTCTTTGGAGCCCTTCTCACTTGAGTTAGGATGGACGGAACAGCACTGCTCCTTTTCCTTTCAGGGAGGAAAAGTTCTCTATTCCTAAAAATTCCTATCAATGCATCTTTCATTTCTCACTTCTTATACAATAGAAAGTTGGGGGGCTCTGGATCAGCTTTATTATCTTAGGAGTAAATCCTATGTGGATATATGCAGCACCTTCTTTAGAATGTGTCAGTACCTGTTACCTATTGTGTTCAGTTTTGGTGTATTACCCAAAGATCTTAGACAACTGAAAACCTCATTTAATGTCCTCATTCTTATGTACATATTCTTAGGAAGTGTGAACTATGTGCATATGCTTTATTTATATAGAGTGTTACTGATGATGTATTCTTACTTTCCCACCCTCCTCCCTCACTCAGCTGTGTTTTTAATAACCATTCACCTATCAATCAGGGCCTTGTCAGGAAAATGCAAACCACACTAGGTATTTCAAGTGACGGCATTTAATACGGAGAATTGATTGCAAGTGTCGGAAGGCTGAAAGAGTAGGAAGAAGTTGCTGATGTAATTCAGAAATTAATAACTGGAGATATCCGAGAACATCCCAAGTCCTGGGGAAACAAACAGGAAGAAGTGGTATAATCACCGGAAACTAGGAGCTCAGAGAAGGGGCCCCTTTTGGCTGATACTAGAGCTTTGTGGGGGAAGCTCCTTCCATGTACCTAGTGCTTGGACGTCTGAGGAAGGGCATGATGGCCTGTCTGCTGCTAAAATCTCTTGACAAGTGAGGCAAAGCTGCTGCTAAATGCAGAAGCGGCTAGTAGCTGGAGACAGCTGCCTGCAGCTGAAGTAGGGTGACAGCATCTGGAAAACAGGAATGAAGGGCCTTCCTCCTGACTTTCACTTTCAGTTTCCCTTTAGGATGTCCCATTGACAGGACCTAATGGAACCAGCTGGCAGTAGATTCTGGGAAATAAAGAGTTTGCAGAATCTCAGCTGCTGCAACACAACCAGAGTGTGTTAAGGGGGTGGGCGGAGATAATGTAGTGGTTTAGGAACCCAAAGAAAATAGGTAAATAAGGAATATAATCCATGTCATTTCTCATGACTTTGTTGCTTCTGTCAGCCACATAATAATATGCCTCCATTCACCTTGTTGCTTCAAATTCTTTGCTACCTGGAGAAATTAAAATCCTTAGAGCTAGCGTTCTTATAAAAATTATATTCCACCAATTAGATGCACTCACGGGATTTGGGAGGCAAGGGTCATCCTCCTGCTGCTTGGCTGTTGCTGCTGGAAAGCATGTTTATCTAGACGTTGGGCTCTCTGTAGCTGCCTTCCCACTGACGCCAAGGATGACGTAAGGATGCTTACTGTAATGGCTGAAGTTCCACGTGGGACGGAGGTTCAACAGGTAAAATCCCATCTACTCTGTGATGCGTACAGCGTTTGGCTATAACAAAGTGTGGTTAAGAAGAGAAAGTCCTGGGAGGACATCAATAAGTAGTAAGAACTCGTGAGAAGTCCAAGGAGTGAGGCTTAGAAAACAGCCTGGACCAGGAGAGGATGGACAGCTGTAAAGACTAGGGTCACAATTCAGAGTCAGTCTGGTTAGGATGGTGCTTCTGGCACCGTCCCTGCTGGACTTCTTGTCTCTTTCATTGCTGCATCGATTGATGCTAAGAATTGAGTTAAGCCTCCTAAATGTATGGCCCTGTTTTAGGATTGGCCCATGAAAGCCCCCTCTTCTGTTCTTTGTTTCCTTTATTCCTGATTCTCGCTCTTCTGTTCCTCACCCCCGCAAGGTGTTTGTTGCATGTCTCTAGATACGTATGTATCTTTGGCCAGATACATGGTTTTGGTATATATATGTTGTGGCAGAGACCTGCCAGGTGTTCCTCACACCCATGTTCTTCCTGGGAAATCAGCCGGACTCTGTTTCCCAGCTCCCCTCATGCTTAAGTGTGGCCACAGGATTGAATTTAGCCAGTTGGATGATAGCAGAACTAATGTGTGCTACTTACAGATTTGGGTCCTTACATTTTCCTATGCATAGTCCTCTGTTATCCACTATGGCCACCTTCATGCATTTGCACATGTGACCTTGAAAGCTACATGCTGAAGATGCTGGAGCCAAAAGATGGAAGGAGCCTAGATCCCTGAAACATCACTTAGAGAAGAGCCACCCACCAATTAGTGATGTAGGAAATGGTGGGGTTCAGAGCTGATGGCCAAGAAAAAATTCTTGAGATGTCTTTGGTGCAAAAAGATGGTTTTATGAAAGCATGGGGACAGGACCTGTGGGCAGAAAGCTGCACTGGGGTCCTGAGGAGTGGCCGATTATATACTTTCAAGTTGGGAGGGGGTGAGGGATAGCATAGGCTTTGAGGTATTTAGGGATAGCACAGGTTTCTAGGACCTTGAGGAGGCTAGCTATTGTTGG